TGCAACCTTCCAATTTAGTTCTTGTAAGACTTTAGTCATTAACATTTGAAATGTTGCAGGTGCATTTGTTAAACCAAAACACAATCTCTTAAATTGGTATTGACCTTGTGGTGTCATGAAAGCTGTTTTGTGTTTTGACTGTTCACCAAGTGGCACCTCATGAAATCCGCTAGCAAGATCAAGCGAACTGAAAATTTTAGCTCTTGAATAGCCAACTGTATCAACAACCTCTTCTATTTTAGGAATTGAGAAAGAAACTTTTTTAGTGACCTCATTCAATTTTCTGAAGTCTAAAACGAATCTGTATGTATTGTTTGGTTTTTTCACTAAGATTACACTGCTATGGTAAGGAGACATTGATTCTTCTATGATGTCATTTTCTTTGAGATTTTTGATTTGTGTCTCTATAACTTCTTGCATTTTTGGTGAATATTGAAACCGTTTAGATCTAACTGGTGCTTCATTTGTTGTTTCAATGTTGTGATAATGCATGTCTGTTTTGCCTAATTCAGACGCATCTTTTGCGAAAACACACCTATTTGTTCCTATTAATTTTAGAAGTTTTTGATGTTGCTCTTTTGTTATGTTAACCGAATCAATTTGAACATTAAGATTTAATGCCTCTTTAATGGGGTCTTGAAATTGAACATCAGATTTTGAATTGTTATCTAAGGCACAGATTGGTTTTGTGGGTGATTTCCAAACTTTTGAAATTGGTGAATTTGCCTTTATAACAATGTCTTCATTTGTTGGATTTAGCACTCTGTAATAGACTTTTGCATCTTTGACTAGACTGAGACAATTAGAACCTAATATTTGTCTGTTCATCAAATTATCGTGTGGCTCTAACAGCACTGTTGTATTTGTTGGGAATTTATTGATGGAAAGTTGAATATCATTTTCTGTATATGCTTTTAAAGTGAGTGTTTTGTTTGTTTTTGCAATGAAGTATCTCTCTAAATTCTTTCCAGACTCTAAGGCAGCAATAGTAAAATGATCATGAAATGAAACAATACGATTCGAAAAATTTATGTTTGCCTTATGAGTAGTCAAAAAATCTTGACCAAGGATTAAGTGAAATCCAACATCTCTTAAAATATAAAAAGAAAAGGGCATAACTAATTCATTGACATCTATGTCCAAATCAATTTTCCCTTTAACATTATGTACAGTATTACATACTCCACGAATTTCATGTAAATCTGTAATATTTATGTCTGGTAATTCTTTTTTATAAAATGCCCTTCTAAGAAGTTGCTCATTAATAACAGAGATTGTAGCACCAGAATCTACAAGAGCATTAATATAAATATTACCTAACTTAACTCTTATCTTATTATTATTTACAATAGCTGTTTCTACATTAGCCATGAAGTTGTTTTTGAACTCAAAAGACTTTGCCATTTTAATAATGTAATATTAGACTTCAGGAGGGATGAGAAATATAAGCCTTATCACTTATCAGATCTAATTATATGTTCAATAAATTAAATAATTATTATTATATAAAGTGTCACAGGTGATTTAATAGTAGGCTGTACTCACCCTCTGCAGTTACCAAGGAATAAGTAAATAGTTAAATTCCTATACAGTTTCCTGTCCTGGAGGTCTTCTATATTATGGCACTAGTCTTTAAAGTTCAGAGAGCATCTTGACTTCACGGGAAACAAAACCGGGTCCTCGAACCACTCTATGACCGGACTGGATCGCATGTCAATAAGTGGGGGAACTAGCTGACATTCTGCGACCCAGTTCTGATCATATTATTTTGTAAGGGAACTAACTCTGAATAGTGATGGTAGAGCATAGGTAACGCATTGTCTGGTTTACTTTAATTTACCGCACAAGAAGTCAATAAAACACTAAGTTGTATGATTGTATATTAATTATTCTCGAATAGATAAGCATTCATATTTACAACACAAGTCATACATGTATACGAATATGCGACTAAGTCACCATGATGTGAACAAAGCCTGAAATTCCCTCATCCTCTAAATTACACAAAGTTAATATATATTCATGTCCCTTTCTAAACCCATTCTCTCAAATCTCAATAATCATTTAATGTATATCCTAGTTACTTGACCAATCAAAATACATAACTCCCAAAAAGGGGAGGGTAATCATTTTAATTCTGACTTTTGAACATATGGTGCCTTAGATACCTTTTTATCAATTACAATGTAAAGTTAAAGTATGAATTTTGTAACTAAAATATAACACTTCTATTGTATTTTATCTTAAATAGGAAATAGCTAATTACAGTCTTATTGTAATATTTTGAAGGTGCTAATAGCTTTACCTCAAGTTTACCTTAATCCCTAATCCAGAATTAAGAAAGACAGTCTAATTATGTTTTCTTTGAGATGTGAATTATAATTTATTTGCAATAAGCCCTTACTGAGTTTTGACATGTTGATATTCTAACACTTTAATTCATCCTAAAAGTAATAAAGAAAATATAGATTTATATAATATTTTAAACAAAACTATTCAAAAATATTGCTAAGGAAAAATACCTCATTTTTCCTTGGTGATACTGTATCAAAGGTATGCCATAAAACATTAAATTCTTGAATACCCCATGTATATGGCAAGTCCTTTTACTATTTATTCTAACTTCAAGATATCTAATTAACTTTATAAGATATCTCATATAGTTTGTAAGATATCTTATATACTTTAGAAGATATCTTATAAACTTTAACAGATATCTTATAAAGTATATAAGATATCACTAGTTGGTTGACCATTATAGAAGATCTGTTTCACAGATGATAGGGGATATGTTCCAAATGTTGTAACTACAATCCTGTCCCCTTTTCCCGAATGTGACCTAGTGAATTAGAAATAAGAAGATGTGGTATGAGTGTCAATGAGACAACTCTCCATCCAAGTCACAATATGTAAAAAGTAAACCATTATAGGTCAAAGTACGGCCTTGTCAACATGGAGCCTTGGCTCACACCGAACAGCAAGCTATAAAGGGCCCCAAAATTACTAGTGTAAAACAATTCAGACAGGAAAACTAACGGTCTAATCTATATAATAAACGAGAAACCAGAAACACTTAAGAACCACATCAACAAACGACAACCACTGAAACAGGTTCCTGACTTTGGACAGGTGCAAACAAATGCAGTGGGTTTAAACGTTTTCACAGGCGCCAACCTTCACCCTAAACTGAAATAGTAGAGTAACATTACATCATAGAAAGACACATTATAAAATATCAATTGAAATGGCTTAACTCAATCAAAAAGACATATTAACAAAAACAAGTAAACATACACTGAACGAATAAATTTGATCTATGACACAAAGTCAAAAAGACAACTATAACCTTGGACAAAATGGCGTTAAATAAAATAACGTACACAGGTAAATTTAAATATAATAATAATGTGTAAGGAGTACTGAAATATTTTTTACAAAATAAATAAATTTGTTGTTCATAGTACAAGAACAGCAGTGAAAATTTATCATCATACTAAATACTACATATTAAAAGTAGTGAGACGAGATATAAACATAAAATAAGTAAACATTGAACAACAAAAATGCATTAACAATTGTTTAACAGGTCAAATTAACACGAAAGTACGATTTGAGAGTACTCGCAGTTATTGAAAGCTAGTTAAAAGCCAAAAACAATTAATAATAAAATAATTATGCATCAGAGACTAAAATCAAATAAAACACATCCCAGGGATTTAGTGTTTTAAAGCCATGGACAAAGAAGACATGACTTTTGCAATGCCAAAATAAAAGTTTCGACAGGCAGTAGGATAATTTGGATTTAACCTTATAATAAATATGTATAATGTTATATATAATTAAAGCAATCTCTATATAGACTTATTACCAGGTTTGTACTAACATGAGCAACACAATGGGTGCCACATGTGGAGCAGGATCTGCTTACCCTTCTGGAGCACTGAGATCACCCCCAGTTATTGGTGGGGTTCGTGTTGCTGAGTCTTTAGTTTTCTATGTTGTGTTTTGTGTACTATTGTTTGTCTGTTGGTCTTTTTTTTTTTCAGCCATGGCATTGTTAGTTTATTTTTCGACTTATGAGTTTGAATGTCCCTTTGGTATCTTTCACCTCTCTTTTATAAAGTATATAAGATACCTTATAAAAACTAGATTAAATAAGATATCTTACATATTATATGAGATATCTTATATATTATACGAGATATATTATATGTGATATCTTATATATTATATGAGATATCTTGAAGTTAGAATAAATAGTAAAACAGCTCGCCATACATGTAGGATGAATCCCATTCTTTCTGCATGTAAAGAACCCTTGCAACAATTCTGAGAGGTCCATAGTTGTCAAAAATTTATGCCACTATCCAACATAATTTTATTTTCCAATGGCAGTCTAAATTCTGTTCCTCAATATATATGAAATCTTTGCCATGGGACTTAAAGCAATTAATCCAAAATCCTTCAATCAAATTCTTAATAGACACTATAATATATGATAAACAAGGAATTACTTGAATCTGGAATAATTTGGAATTCTGGAAAATTGAGAAAAAACTGTATGATGAAACTAACCATATTATAAAGGAGGGTTAGCCATGCATGCATGCCTAGGGGGGAGGGGGTTAGTTGGTTCACACTGAAATATCAATGAAAGTAACATGAACCTTAGCCATGGCTAACCTTCTTTAGTTTTGTCATAATACTAAAAAAATTTGTTATCAATTTTCCAGAATTCAAAATTGTTCCAGATTCAAATAATTCCTAGTTGATATGTAAAAGACAATCACTAATGAATTTCCTGGTATGAGACGGGTACATTTACATTTGGCAGGTTTAACTAGTATTTGACCCTTCCCCTTTTTTTGAAAAGCTTTCAAGGTGTTTGTTTATGAATTAGTAATTTTAAAATGGAATAACTATGTTGAAAGCCTCAGAATATAAAATTTGATTGTACAAGGCTTAAAAACAAGAAGAATATGAACCATTATTCTTTTCAGACACTATGCATGAGAGAAATAGAATGATGGAAACAACATTTCCTCGTCTTAAAGAATACTGTCAAGAGAGAGGTTTTGAGTTTCAAATCGTGGACATGAGATGGGGAATAAGAGATGAGGCGACCAATGATCACATGACTACAGAAATATGTCTTTATGAACTTGCTAACTGTCAGAAATACTCTGCTGGACCAAATTTCTTGGTATTTTTTACTCTTTCTTATAACATGTACTAGTGATTGACCATAGGATATATTTGGATTTTACCCCACAATATACCTGTTGATAATGACATCTATTAACGAGGAATTCAGTTTATGCCCCACCTAGGGGCATTATGTTTTTTGGTCTGTGTGTCCGTACGATCGTCCGTTCGTCCATCCGTCTGTCTGTCCTGCTTCAGATTAAAGTTTTTGGTCAATGTAGTTTTTGATGAAGTTGAAGCCCAATCAATTTGAAACTTAGTACACATGTTCCCTATGATATGGTCTTTCTAATTTTAATGCCAAATTAGAGTTTTAACCCCAATTTCACGATCCACTGAACATAGAAAATGATAGTGTGAGTGGGGCATCCGTGTACTATGGACACATTCTTGTTATAATTAATAAAATGCTCCGCAGGGCGCAGCTTGATACGACCGCAGAGGTCGAACCCTGAACAGTTGGGGCAAGTATGGACACAACATTCAAGCTTGATACAGCTTTGCATTTGGATTGTGATTAAATATTTGACACAGCATAGGTTTCTGACACAGAATGAATGTGGTCTAAGAACTTAAAAAATTTTAAATTGGACATTCACCTATTATGGTCCAATATCCAAAATCTAAATACATGGTTAGATTCAGCGTATCAAAGAACCCCATATATTCAATTTTTGTTGAAATCAAACAAAGTTTAATTTTGGACCCCGATTTGGACCAACTTGAAAACTGGGCCCATAATCAAAAATCTAAATACATGTTTAGATTCAGCATATCAAAGAACGCTAAGAATTCAATTTTTGTTAAAATCAAACTAAGTTTAATTTTGGACCCTTTGGACCTCAATGTGGACCAATTTAAAAACGGGGCCCAAAATCCAAAAAACTAAATACACGGTTAGATTCAGCATATTAAAGAACCCCAAGAATTCTAGAATAAAACCCCATTGAAATTGGTCAAGAAATAAGCAATTTATACGAAGTATCTTCTTTTGCACAATACTGTGCAATTAAATATTTCTTGCTATTGCGCAATACTGTACAATTGACAATTTCTTGCTATTGTGCAATATTGTGCTATTGGATATTTCTTGCTATTGTGCAATACTGTGCAATTGAAGATTTCTTGCTATTGCGCAATACTGTGCAATTGAAGATTTCTTGCTATTGTGCAATACTGTGCAATTGAAAATTTCTTGCTATTGCACAATACTTATTATATAATAATTTACACATCCTGTTTGGTGTGTATCTCCTACCATATCATTATTATTTGCTTTTAAATATAAATCAGAAATAACCAACTTAAAATGGAAAATTTTAAAAGAAAAAAAAAGGAAAAAAAAAAAATCCCCCCCCAAATTTTTTGAACCCCCTTATGATTCATCACCCCCAAACTCAATCCCAGCCTTCCCTTTGTGGTATGGTACCTTGCAGTACAATTTCAGAGAGATCCATACACTTGAACACAAGTTATTGTCTGGAAACTAGAAAAATGTGTTTTTGGCCCCTTTTTGGCCCCAAATTCCTAAACCTTTAGGGCAATTACCCCCAAACTCAAACCCAGCTTTCCCTTTGTGATATGGAACCTTGTAATACAATTTCAGAAAGATCCATACACTTACACACAAGTTATTGTCCTAAAACTAGAAAAATGCTTGTTTTTTGCCCCTTTTTGGCCCCTAATTTCTAAAATATTGAGGCAATTACCCCAATCATCAATCCCAGCCTTCCCTTTGTGGTATGGTACCTTGCAGTACACTTTCAGAGAGATCCATACACTTGAACACAAGTTATTGTCTGGAAAATACAAAAATGCTTGTTTTTTGCCCCTTTTTTGGCCCCTAATTCCTAAAATTTTGAGGCAATTACCCCCAAAATCAATCCCAGCATTCCTTTTGTGATATGGAACCTTGTGGTACAATGTCAGAGAGATCCATACACTAACACACAAGTTATGTCTGGAAGTTACAAAAATGCATATTTTTGGCCCCTTTTTGGCCCCTAATTCCTTTACTGTTGGTACCATAATCCCCAAAATCAATCCCAACCTTCCTTTTGTGGTATTGAACCTTGTGGTAAAATTTTATAGAGATCCATTCACTTAAACTAAAGTTAGAGTGCGAAAACCAATGTGTCTTCGGACGACGCCGGACGACGACGACGACGACGCCAACGTCATACCAATATACGACCACAAAAAATTTTTTGCGGTCGTATAAAAATGTAAGTCTTTGAAGATATGTTTAAATTTATTAGTTTAAAATTTTCAGATTTTCTGGGTAAGATCCTACACAAAATATATACTGTAGGCATACTTTGTTTTGTAAGCAATTATTTACATGACATTCACAAGTAGAAAAATAAAGCGAATATAGATTAATGTGAGTATGTCAAACTTTAATTTTCACTAATACTGATATTAAGAGATTAAGACATTGCAAAATAGACTGGTGTTGAATGGGCTTGAAAGAATTGATTTAAATGTGAAAAAAGTATATATACAAATAAGTTGGTTTTCAGCTGAGAATAAAATTTGTATTGCTTTAAGTACATACACTTGAATTAGCATTCTTTGTCAGGTCACTCAAAAGTTGTATACTTAAATAAATTTACACTTTTACAGACACCAAAAGTTACAATAATCTATTGCAGTGAAGTTTGTTTGCAACTTTTACTTTCTTTCAGACTCTATTGTCTCATAAATATGGATACCGTTCCCTTCCAAGACAGATTCCTGCAGAAAAATATGAGAAAATAGTCCAGTACATAGATGGCAGTGATCAACGACAGCTGTTGTCAAAGTAAGCTTCTTTCAATAAAAATAGGTAGGACAAGAAACTGTTTAGTTAATGTTTATACAGTAAAGGTGTTAAAAGTATGAAACTAAGCAGCAAGTTTAAAAAAAAATGTTTATAAATTTTGTGCGACAGTTGTGCTCCTCTGAACCTATCGTCCTCAGAATGCTCAAACCTAAACGTTTGTAAACAAAGGATATATAAGTATGTGAACATGTGAGGAGCAAAATGACCATAAGGTACCCCAAAAGAATAGCCATAGCCAACTAAGCTTCATCAAGTTGGTACCATAGTTTCATAATAATTTTTATTGGAATTTCAGAAAGGTGTGTGTTTGTATGCAGATTTCTGCTACATCATTTAAAGCAACAAGTACCCCACCAAAAACTCAGCTGTTATCAAGTGCTCTCCAAGGGTTAGTAGTTCCTGTTTTACTAATCGTGCCCATAATAAACATAAAAAGGTTCAATGTTAATAATACAGATGATTTGTTTCCTTTTCCCATAATAACGTAAAATTTTGTTATGCCAGGTGGTATGTGAAAGATGAGAACTGTGACCCGCCAAAATATATCCTCCAGCCAATCAGCACTAATCTCCCAGACTTCCTTGCACAAGATGACAAAGAGAAACAGAAAGCAGCCAGAGAAGAATGGTGGGAAGAAAGTGACACTATGTTAGATGGCTTAGTAACAGCAGCAGAGAAGGCTTTACCCCAAGAGGAGGCATACAAATTCAAAGTATCAGGTAATTTCTTTTTCACTTGATTAAAATGTTTGTCACTTTGTGTTAGATGTTTGCCAGTCCCTTCAAATTCAATTGACATGGTTAGTAGATTGATTTCAACACTATTGTGCTATTTCGTGGCGGTCAGTTTTTATTGGTGGAGGAAACTGGAGAGAACCACCGACCTTTGGTAGGAAAACTGACAATCCTAGTCAATTAAGATTAGAGTCGAGTGCACCTGCCCCGTGCTGTATTTGAACTCACAACCTCAGTGTTGACAGGCTAGTGATACAGTAGTTCGACTACTTAGACCACTTGGCCACCGAGGCCACACATGGTTAGTGGAAGTACTACATTTTTGTCAGAATTTATCTAGAATTAGGCATTTTTTATTATGAGGAAATTCTTTTAGAATTTATTAAGAGGAAAGATCTTGTTTAGGGAATATTAATCTTAAATATGATAAAATCAGTAATGTGTTTTTAATTGACAATTTTGTCACTGCATGTAAGTATTCATATGAAACAGAATTGAAATAATCTTTGTTTCTATGAAGCTTAGAATATATATTCAAGAAAATGGTTAACACAAACCACTAGACATTGTAAAAATTAAGTCCCTTAAACTGGGAATCTCCAGACTGGGAAGCACATGTATGTTTTGTTTCTTTTGGTCAGATTTTTCAATCAAATATATTTTTTTTTTAAGTGCGCATATTTGAGCTGTTAATGTTCAAGTTTAAAAAAAATAATCATAAATTTCATTGTAGCCCTTTGAAAAATGAATCTGTTATCTCATATCACCTCTACTCAAATCCAAAACTAATATGAACATTTCTTTTGCTATGCCCGTGTCTGTAGTGACTTTTGGATTTCAACGAGCGTAATCTATGTATTACTGGTGAATTACTTAGTTAGGGACTGCGTAACAACAAATTACTTAAAACCTTTACTAAATTCTTCCATAAGACAAAGATTTAGTTTGGAAGTTTGACTGAAAACTTATTTCAAATTCTTTATGTGCCTGTCCCAAGTCAGGAACCTGTAGTTCAGTGGTTGTTGTTGGTTCATGTCTGTCATATTTGTTTTTCGTAAATTGTATGTTATAAATTAGGCTGTTTTAGTTTTTTCTATTGAAACGTTTCATATTTTTCATGTTGGTGCTTTTTATAGGCGACTATATGGTATGGGTTTTTCTCATTGTTGAAGGCGGTACAGTCGCCTGTAATTGCTTACATCCACTTTATTTGAACTTTGGTGGATAGTTGTCTCATTGACAATCATACCACATCTCCTTATTTTTATAATTTAGCTTCTGGTTGAAATTTTCATTTTATTTCAGCAAACAGAAAGAAAAAATGTACAAGCTGAAAATAAGAAACATACCCATACAATATAACTAATGATGGAAATTACACATGTGGAATGCAGCTATAATTTTATTTATAAATTATGTAAAATATTCAAAAGATATAGATGCTTTCAGATTTGAATTCTGAGAATGCACTTCAGTTGGTTTGTGTTATAATGATTGTTATCCTAATAACAAACTGCATTTGTTGAGAATAAAAAAAAAATGTGTTAAACAATTCCACAAAATTGACATTAACATAAATTAAATTTTAGTATACTTTTTTGTCGAGCCTGCGACTTTTGTCGCAGAAAGCTCGACATAGGGATAGTGATCCGGCGGCGGCGGCGTTAGCTAACTTCTTAAAAGCTTTATATTTTAGAAGCTAGAAGACATGGATGCTTCATACTTTGTATATAGATGCCTTATGTTACGAAGTTTCCGTCTGTCATATGTCCAATGTCCTTGACCTCATTTTCATGGTTCAGTGACTACTTGAAAAAAAAGTCAACATTTTTTGTAATGTTAATTTCTTTCTTATTATGAGTAATAGGATAACTATATTTAGTATGTGCGTACCTTGCAAGGTCCTCATGCCCGTCAGACAATTTTCATTTGACCTCGACCTCATTTCATGGATCAGTGAACCAGGTTAAGTTTTCGTGGTCAAGTCCATATATCAGATACTATAAGCAGTAGGTCTACTATATTTGGTATATGGAATGATTGTAAGGTGTACATGTCCAACTGGTAGGTGTCATGTGACCTTGACCTCATTTTCATGGTTCAGTGGTCAAAGTTAAGTTTTTGAGTTTTGGTCTTTTTTTCTAATACTATATGCAATAGGTCAACTATAAATGATGTATGGAATGATTGTAAGGTGTACATGTCTAGCTGGCAGGTGTCATCTGACCTTGACCTCATTTTCATGGTTCAGTGGTCAAAGTTAAGTTTTTGAGTTTTGGTCTTTTTTTCTAATACTATATGTAATAGTTCAACTATATTTGGTGTATGGGAATATTTTATGATCTATATGTCAGTCACGCAGGTTTTATTTGACCTTGACCTCATTTTCAAGGTTCATTGCTCAGTGTTAAGTTTTTGTGTTTTGGTCTGTTTTTCTTATACTGTATGCAATAGGTCTACTATATTTGGTGTATGGAATGATTGTAAGGTGTACATGTCTAGCTGGCAGGTGTCATCTGACCTTGACCTCATTTTCATGGATCAGTGGTCAAAGTTAAGTTTTTGAGTTTTGGTCTTTTTTTCTAATACTATATGCAATAGTTCAACTATATTTGGTGTATGGAAATATTTTATGATCTATATGTCAGTCAGGCAGGTTTTATTTGACCTTGACCTCATTTTCAAGGTTCATTGCTCAGTGTTAAGTTTTTGTGTTTTGGTCTGTTTTTCTTAAACTATAAACAATAGGTCAACTATATTTGTTATATGGAAGAATTGTTAGCTGTACATGCCTGCCTAGCATGGTTCATCTGACCTTGACCTCATTTTCATGGTTCATTGGTCAATGTTTAGTTTACTTGGTTAATGTTAAGTTTATGTGACAGTTGTAATAAAGCTTTATATTTGGGACTATCAACATAATATAAATGATTAGTAAAGAAGGCGAGACATTTCAGCGTGTGCACTCTTGTTGTTTTTATTACAAAAATAATTGTGTAATTTATTTTCCAGGGTTTCTTGGAGATTATGTAAACTGACCTTATACTGTATTTAAAAAAAGAGTAACTAGAACAATTAATAAAAAATACAAAACTTGAATACAAAAAATTATGTATTTTTTTACATAACAAAAAGTTGAACATATATAAATTTAAACAACACAATTTTAAGAACTTTTGGTTGTTTTTTTTCAGTTACTCATACAGAGGTTATGAGTGGGTTATCCAGTCAAGATCTAGGAAAGAAATGTGTATGGCTGAAACGTAATATAACAGATATTGAGGAACAAAAACCCTCTTACCAATTGTCCAGATTTATAGGTATACAGAAATTTTGAAAGAATGTAGTTATTGATATCAGTATTAACCTTTAGAGAGCACTAGAAAATTGTATTCAGACAAAAATGTATCAACCTAAAATCATGTTTTAAAAGGATGAAAATACAAGTCGCTGAAATACGTTACAGAAAACTATACATTGAACAACAGGAATTCTGCTTAATACAGTAGATGCTATAAATAGTAAGCATTTTCTGCTCCACTATTAGCGCCTATCATGCTTCTCATGAAAAGTATACATCCAGTGGTATGTCATGAAGGATAATTTGGACTAGACAGACTGTGGTTACAACAATTGTATCTTGGGTCATGATAGTGTAAAGATAAATATTTGCCTTGTATAAAGGACTTTACATTGTTAGTATTGAACATGCAATTGGTTATATAAACAGTTATATGAAATTTTTATATTTGAACTTTTTGAAGGATTTTGATCTTTTCTACAGAAAACTGACAAACAAATTGCAAAGATGTTTGGTTGTTGGTACTTTCAATGAAATCCACTTTTTGGAATTTTGTACACAGAAAGCACATTGTCTGCAGTTATGTATTTAATATATAATAAAAAAAATGTAATCTGAATTTTTGATATTTTGACAGTTTAATTCATAGATGTAATTAAAGTAATCAGAGGATATGAATAAACACTTGAATAATCTTTTACCAATTGACAGCAATATGCAGATATTTTTATACTTTTTTAGCAAACGTATCTCAATTGTATTGTTTACTCTAAACTTCCACATACTTGTGTATCTGTTCATAATTCAAAGGTTATAATTTTAGCAATTTCAGATTTCATTGATGTAAGTCAGTTCTTTAATTTTGTGTTATGTAAAGGATATTGGGATAATTATTGCTAGTTAACATTCTGCATGAGTCCTAGCATGCTGCTGTCAAATGCATAACTAGCATGCAGCTATTAAATGCATAACTAGCAATCAGCTGTTAAAATGCATAATTAGCATGAATCTATTAGAATGCGCAACTAGCATGCAGCTATTAAAATGCATAATAAGCATGCAGCTGTTTAAATTCATGATTACAATGCTGCTCTTAAAATGCATAATTAGCATGCAGATGTAAAAATACATAAATAACATGCAGCTGTTAAAAAGGATGATAAGCATACTGTTATTAAAATGCATAATAGGCATACTGCTGGTAAAACACATACTAAGCATGCTGCTGTTAAATGAATAATAAGCATACTGCTGTTAAGATGCATAATTAACATGCATCTGTTAAAATGCATAATAAGCATGCTGCTTTTAAATTGCATAAAGAGTATGCTGTTGTTAAAATGCATAATAAGCAAGCAATTGTTCATATGCATTATTAGCATTCTGCTGTTTAAATGCATATTTACATGTAGCAGGCTTCTGTCAACAACTAGTAAGCAGTTGTGATTGTAAAAAGTAAAATAATAAAAATACCGAACTCCAAGGAAAATTCAAAACAGAAAGTCCCTTATCAAATGACAAATTAAAAGCCCAAACACATCTAACGAATGGAAAACAACTGTCATATTCCTGACTTGGTACAGGCATTTCCTTATGTAGAAAATGGTGAATTTAACCTGGTTTTATAGCAAGCTAAACCTCTCACTTGTATGACAGTCGCATAATATTCCATTATATTGACAACAATGTGGGAACAAAACAAACAGACATAATAGGTAAAAATTTCAAAAATAGGGGTACAGCAGTCAACATTGTAGTAAAATCTTAATCACTATAAAAGAAACAAATATATCAAATGTATTTTGTATAGATATTGCCCCTGTGAATGTGTGGTTATAATACAGTGTATAACTGTGCCAGTACTATGCTTGCTTTAAATATTCTCTTTAATGTAATGAATAGCCTGCTGTGAATTAATGCCTTAGTTAAAAGATGATGAACAGTGTTTTGTAATGTTTGCTAAAGTTGCTTTTATGTTTGCTGTCAGTCTTTAAATTCAACTGTAGGATAAACTGCTGAGGCTTGTATAAATCATATTGGTATAAAAATAAAGAGATGTGATCTGTTAGAATTTAACTTACAGACCAGGACAATAATCAGTTTAAAAAAAAACCTAAAGGTAAGTTTGAATGCTTGTATATCACTTTTCTGTCAATGTGTTGATTGGACAGCACATGTTTGCTGTGCCAACTTTTTACCTGTTTAACAAGTTGTTTTGGGTAACAGAGGAACTTTGCAACCATTGATCATAAATTACATATTATTCTGTTTAACAATCTTTAAGGAACCATTTCATCAACCATTTTTAACTCGGCCATGTGTGAATTAATTTCAGCCAAATTGATATCATGTAATTTGTGCATGTGCTGTGTATATAATTGCACCAATTAAATGTGAATTTTTTGATACAGTGTAATTAACACTAATTTTTGTAATAATACATGAATATTGTGACAATTAATATTATAAGTATGAGTCATATTTTAAAAATGATTTTTTGCATAAATAATTTTAGTACTTTTAAAGAAAGTTTTCAAGAATTTGTTTTTATACCATAAATGAAATTATCATTGTTAGTGCTTAATTTGATATTCATACATCTAGATAAAACCATGGAGACAGCTATACCCTAATGATTGTATAGGATTAGTATCTACTTAGTAGCAAATGTAATATACAATACACATCTTACCTATTATAACATTTTATCAAAGAAGAAATGTTTGATAGATATGAAAAAAATTCGTAAGGGTTCTGCGGAATTTAGTGTCTCGCCTACTTCTGCTGCTAGTCACAGGCTCAACAAAAATGGGGAAAAAATTATTAAAAATTTTCTTATAGATACTATCTTTTGATTGTAAGAAGCTTCTGTCCAAGTTTGGTAAAAATCCAGAATGGTTTATGAATCTAATAAATGTTTTAAAAACTTTAACTACAGACTGTATGTAATGTTAACAGGAAGAAAAACTAAGTCCATTTATAAGTAATATACGGAAAAACAGGAAATAAATTTTACAAAATTTCCTTCTAGATACTAGCTTTTGATCATAAACAAGCTTCTGTCCAAGTTTGGAACAAATCCAGGATTATGAGTTTAAGAAAGTTATTAAAATATTAAAAGCTTTAACCATAGAGTGAATGTAATGTTAACTGGCAGAAAAACTAAGTCCATTTATAAGTAATATATGGAAAACAGGAAATATATTTTTACAAAATTTCCTTTTAGATACTAGTTTTTGATCATAAACAAGCTTCTGTCCAAGTTTGGTAGAAATCCAGGATAGTTTAAGAAAGTTATTAAAATTTCAAAAACTTTAACCACAGAGTGAATATTTGTGGATGCTGCCGCCGACGATGACGGAATGTAGGATCGCTATGTCTCGCTTTTGCGACAAAAGTCGCAGGCTCGACAAAAACTACAGTAATTTTAAGTAAATGAATAGAACAGCAAAAAGGACTGCTCCTTTCCTTAACTGTTTTTTTGTCAATTGCTTTTAAGGATTTGTGTATATGATTTCCTGTGCATAAAATATGTATTCATCATGTTGTACATGTTATTAGAGATGGTTTTAGGATATAGATTTTTTTTATCATTGAGGTACAATTTACGTGACAAATTCTTTCACAATTATTTTTACGATTGCTCATGAAATACTAAATTGAAAGGCCAATTTCCCTTGCATTAGTTTAACTTACAGCATAAATAAAATATAAATTGCCAAATTCTACTGGATATTGAATCTTATTTATATATTTTTAGACCCCTCTACCAAGAAATTTATTTTGAATGCACACGTATAAAAATTGCGGTTTTTATCCAACGCAATCATAGGTTTGAACCTTGTTTTCAATTTAGACTTGTATATATATATATTTGATATAGAATTAGCAGTGTAATTGTAAGAACCTTAAAGAACACTTTGATTATATTTGATACTTGACGTTCCAAAGCAATTGCAAGTTACATCCAGCAGTCTACAGGGAGATTGAAGACACTAAAATGTAAAATATGAAATCAATTAGTATCAAATTAAACGAGAGAGACAAATATATTTCTTACTAAGCAACTTAATTTTAAAAAATGATAATTTCCTGCATTTTGTTAAACACAAACTAATCCGTAGATGAATCCGGATTCATTCTGAATTTATTATCCATTCGTCACTTCCCGTTTTCATTTCGTTTAAAAATTGAAAGTAAACTTGATCTTTTCTCGATTATTATTGATGCGCAAAGATCAGAAACACAGTTTGGCAGTATTTGGCCACAGCTTTATTACAAACTACACAATTATAAATCCATATAACTAGATAAACAGTAAAGATATATATATATATATATATATATATATATATTTATATATAGCAGATAGATAATTAGATAGATAGATAAATGAACGTAGTCGCCTTTCATATTGGCACACTACAAAAAGATAACTAACTAGATAACTAAATATTTACAATAAATGAAGCATCCAATAAAATAAAATGAATCCTGGGATACAGATATTCATAATTTTTTGTGTGGTGGGTCCTGGGATACAGAGACCCCCAATATCAAATGTTTTGGATGCTAAATGAAATATGCAACAAAATGACGCATAGTTAAAGTAAACGCAGCGAAATGTGCCCATAACTTAATACAGTACAAAATGTTCATATAAGCGGGCGTATGCAAGCATTATTTTTTTTTTTTTGTGATACGGATGAAATGTACAGATTACTCAATTTATATATATCTAAAACACATAGTCTTGAAACAGAACACGCACATTACGTTGAGATGGTACAGCTGTACCAGCAAACTACGGACTACAGACAAGTATACAGTGGACACTAAACTAATACGCTCCATATACAGTGACTGCTTAGTTGACTTCTCACACCTTTAATTGTAGCACGAACATTCTGAAAAAATATATCAAGACACAGCAAAAATTTGTCCATATATAGTATGCAATGTTGAAACAAATAGTGGTGGGTGGGTGGGTTTTTGAAATCACCAAAATATATCCGTCTGCTTCCCTCCAATGTAGCTATTGAAAAGATTGCGTGCGCAGTCATACTGCGCTTGATCAACAGATAAGTGATAACCCACATTAGACAAAAAATAGAACGGCCAATGACACACATTGCTTACACTAATAACCGAATTTATGCTGAATCATAAATCCTATTATTATTAATGCGCAAAGATCAGAAACACAGTTTGGCAGTATTTGGCCACAGCTTTATTACAAACTACACAATTATAAATCCATATAACTAGATAAACAGTTAAGATATATATATATATATATATAGCAGATAGATAATTAGATAGATAGATAAATGAACGTAGTCGCCTTTCATATTGGCACACTACAAAAAGATAACTAGATAACTAACTAGATAACTAAATATTTACAATAAATGAAGCATCCAATAAAATAAAATGAATCCTGGGATACAGATATTCATAATTTTTTGTGTGGTGGGTCCTGGGATACAGAGACCCCCAATATCAAATGTTTTGGATGCTAAATGAAATATGCAACAAAATGACGCATAGTTAAAGTAAACGCAGCGAAATGTGCCAAATTGACCAAGGCAGTCATAAATGACTGACGGGTCAACCGCCATTCAAAGGGGATAGAGCTGCGTAAAAGCTGTGTGCCAAATACGATAATCATATAGATATATGAGCTATAAATATTTAGTAAAAACTGAATTCAAATGAATATCATACAATTTCATGATTTACATTCGGGAAAAGTATGTGGCGAGTAGACAAGGAAGGCCTCTAAAGCGCCCTGAATTGTGTTTAGAAAAATGTAATTACCAATATCAGTCAAATGTACACCATCTTGACATATAAATGTAGAATTAGGAGATATATCGGGGTATCGTATGTAATGTCCCCCTTGGCGAATGATATAACTTGCTAGCGAGCTGTTTATTCTCTGCCTGGATCTATCCATTGCTTCAGTATCGGCGGAGTAACGCCAAATGAGTCTTGGCAAAATTTGTGACCATACCAATGTGCTATTCAGTAAAAGTTCTGAAACTTTCTTCAAATAATTTTTATACGACCGCAAAAAAATTTTGTGGTCGTATATTGGTATGACGTTGGCGTCGTCGTCGTCCGAAGACACATTGGTTTTCGCACTCTAACTTTAGTTTAAGTGAATGGATCTTTTTGAAATTTGACCATAAGGTTAAATACCACAAAAGGAAGGTTGGGATTGATTTTGGGGGTTATGGTACCAACAGTTAAGGAATTAGGGGCCAAAAAGGGGCCAAAAATAAGCATTTTCTAGTTTCCAGACAATAACTGTGGAACCGTGTATGGATCTCTCTGAAATTATACTACAAGTTTCCATACCACAAAGGGATGGTTAGGATTTGCTTTGGGGGGTTATGGCTCAAACCGTTTAGGAATTAGGGGCAAAAAAGGGGAAAAAACAAGGTTGTCCTGGTTAATGGACAAATACTTTAGTACAAAACATAATTTAAAGCAGTGTAAGGGAGATAAATCAAATACATCATTGAAATTATCTCCCTTACACTGCTTTTAAATTATGTATAAAGTAATGGTTAATGAACAATAAAGATAATTTAAAACAGTGTAAGGGAGGTAATCCAAATACAACGTTTTTGTTACTTCCCTTACACTGCTTTTAAATTATGTTTAAAGAAATGCATATTTATAAAGGAAGACCAGTAAAAATATCTGCAAATGTTGCATCTTTTTTTTTTTACAAAAAAATCCATATGAAAGATTTGACACTATATTTTTAATTCTATTATAAAATAGATTAAGTTAGCACTATGGTAGATTTAAATGGGTAATTATGGTTGCCAACTCCATTGGAAATTTGAATTGAGATTATGACCAAACGTGAGGGAAAGAATTTTTTTGGGGGAAAAAGGGGGGGGGGGTCAATTTGTTCTCATTTCAGATTTCAGAAATTAAAAAGAATTATTCTTCAAATATTATTTTTTTTTCAAATTTCAAATATTGAAAAATTTCAAGAAGTAATCTTTAATTGCACAGTATGGCGCATTAGATTTGTAAAATCTTTGATCACATTTATTTATTTGTTATGCCGAATCTAACAGTGTATTTAGATTTTTAATTTTGGGTCCAGTTTTCAAATTGGTCTACATTAAGGTCCAAAGGGTCAAAAATTAAACTTTGTTTGATTTTAGCAAAAATTGAATATATGAGGTTCTTTGATATGCTGAATCTAAACATGTATTTAGATTTTTGATTTTTGGCCCAGTTTTCAAGTTGGTCCAAATTGGGGTCCAAAATTAAACTTTGTTTGATTTCAACAAAAAATGAATATATGAGGTTCTATGATATGCTGAATCTAACCATGTATTTAGATTTTTTATTTGTGGGCCCCGCTATCAAATTGGTTCATATTGAGGTCAAAAGGGTCCAAAATTAAACTTTGTTTGATTTCATCAAAAATTGAATTATTGGGGTTCTTTGATATGCCAAATCTAACCGTGTTTTTAGATTTTTAATTTGGGTCCCATTTTTTAAATTGGTCTTCATTGAGGTCCAAAGGGTCCAAAATTAAACTTAGTTTGATTTTAACAAAAATTGAATTCTTGGGGTTCTTTGATATGCTGAATCTAAACATGTGTTTAGATTTTTGATTATGGGCCCAGTTTTCAAGTTGGTCCAAGTTGGGGTCCAAAATTAAACTTTTTTTGATTTCAACAAAAATTGAATATATGGGGTTCTTTGATATGCTGAATCTAACCATGTATTTAGATTTTTTATTTGTGAACCCGGTTATCAAATTGGTTCATATTAAGGTCAAAAGGGTCCAAAATTAAACTTTGTTTGATTTCATCAAAAATTGAATTATTGGGGTTCTTTGATATTCCAAATCTAACCGTGTATTTAGATTTTTAATTTTGGGTCCTGTTTTTTAAATTGGTCTACATTTAGGTCCAAAGGGTCCAAAATTAAACTTAGTTTGATTTTAACAAAAATTGATTTCTTGGGGTTCTTTGATATGCTGAATCTAAACATGTGTTTAGATTTTTGATTATGGGCCCAGTTTTCAAGTTGGTCCAAGATAGGGTCCAGTATTTAAACTTTGTTTGATTTCAACAAAAATTGAATATATGGGGTTCTTTGATATGCTGAATCTAAACATGTATTTAGATTTTTGATTATGGGCCCAGTTTTCAAGTTGGTCCAAATTGGGGTCCAAAATTAAACTTTGTTTGATTTCAACAAAAAATGAATATATGAGGTTCTATGATATGCTGAATCTAACCATGTATTTAGATTTTTTATTTGTGGGCCCCGCTATCAAATTGGTTCATATTGAGGTCAAAAGGGTCCAAAATTAAACTTTGTTTGATTTCATCAAAAATTGAATTATTGGGGTTCTTTGATATGCCAAATCTAACCGTGTTTTTAGATTTTTAATTTGGGTCCCATTTTTTAAATTGGTCTTCATTGAGGTCCAAAGGGTCCAAAATTAAACTTAGTTTGATTTTAACAAAAATTGAATTCTTGGGGTTCTTTGATATGCTGAATCTAAACATGTGTTTAGATTTTTGATTATGGGCCCAGTTTTCAAGTTGGTCCAAGTTGGGGTCCAAAATTAAACTTTTTTTGATTTCAACAAAAATTGAATATATGGGGTTCTTTGATATGCTGAATCTAACCATGTATTTAGATTTTTTATTTGTGAACCCGGTTATCAAATTGGTTCATATTAAGGTCAAAAGGGTCCAAAGTTAAACTTTGTTTGATTTCATCAAAAATTGAATTATTGGGGTTCTTTGATATTTCAAATCTAACCGTGTATTTAAATTTTTAATTTTAAGTCCCGTTTTGTAAATTGGTCTACATTAAGGTCCAAAGGGTCCAAAATTAAACTTAGTTTGATTTTAGCAAAAATTGAATTCTTGGGGTTCTTTGATATGCTGAATCTAAACATGTGTTTAGATTTTTGATTATGGGCCCAGTTTTCAAGTTGGTCCAAGATAGGGTCCAGTATTTAAACTTTGTTTGATTTCAACAAAAATTGAATATATGGGGTTCTTTGATATGCTGAATCTAACCATGTATTTTGATTTTGGACATTGGACCATAATAGGTAAATTAAAAAAATTCAAGTTCTTAGACCACATTCTTTCTGTGTCAGAAACCTATGCTGTGTCAAATATTTAATAACAATCCAAATTCAGAGCTGTATCAAGCTTCAATGTTGTGTCCATACTTGCCCCAACTGTTCAGGGTTCGACCTCTGCGGTCGTATCAAGCTGCGCCCCAGCGAAGCATTTTATTTAGTCTATTACGTAACACTCCTGTCTTAATTTCTCCTAAATCATTTCCCCCTATGTGTAATACTAGATAAGTTGGGGGTTCCTCATATCTAAGCATCAGCTTGATCCTATTTAGTAGATCATTAAGCCTCATTCCGCTTTTACCCAACCACCACAGCCGAACACCATTTTGATCTAGTCCAAGATTAATGCCACCTGGTCTTGTTCTAGCTTGAACAAATGCATTTTTCACCAAGGAGGAACCAACAATCCAAATTGTAATTGGTGAACCTGCAATTCTTAAATAGCAGTTAGTCCCACTAAAGTGATTGCAAGTTCATTACACAAAATTATAAATAAATCTAACAGTTATAGACATTGTTGTATTCGAATATATGAAGGAAATGAATCAGACTTCCACCTACCCATGGCCTGAATTTCAGAATCAGATAAGCCATTCATGGCAGCGCTTGTGGCAGCACCTATCCTGAATGAATGAGAACTATATTTTGCTTGACTTAAACCCAAAATATTCAGTGACTTTTTTAGGACTCCCGAAAATTGGTATCTAGTGATAGGGGTTCCATCAAAATGACAAAACAGTTGACCAGCGACATTTGGTCTAATTTTTAAATAAGTACGTAAAGCGAAAACTGCACAAACATCACCAGGCCTATCATCAATAACAATTGTAGTTCCTGTACAGCACTGGTCAGTCTTAGATGAACGTAAGCGTATTTCAATACTGGATAGATTTATCTTAATGTCTTTATAATCAAGTGCATGGGATTTGGTTGAGGCGTGTTTTTGGTCAGCGGTTAGTTCGCCAACTCTAAGGAAACCAAAAAAGCCAAGGAAAACGAAGCTTAGAAGAGTTTAGTTTCAAAATCATTATGACAAACAGCAGGTAGAACGTTATAAATTTTTGACAATAAATCACGTGTTATGGGTAACCTAGCATCCTTTGGTCGACGCTGTGAATGCTTCATTCCTTCGAGTAGCTTTCTGACAACAAAAGCATTAAAGCAGTCAGTATAATTGTTAATCCTACTGAAAAAACTCTACCCAGAGATATACGATTTGACAGTTGAGGCCGCAGTTCCAGTGAATGACATATAGGCAATATAGTTAGTTATGTGATGTAATGGAATAGGCCATAGATCTTCGAATTGGAATAAGGCCCTAAAATCTTTAAATGACCGTAAAGCTTGTTGGTAAACCTTTGCCGTATTAGGTGCGACTGCTGATACAATTAGTCGGTCAATTTCAGTTTGGAGATCAGGTCTATGAACTCCCGAGGGACTATTTCCGGTGTATCCTCCACTAATGGTGCTAACCTTCTGAACTTGTCTAACTGAAAGCGAGAGAGAGCGTCAGCTATAATATTTTTGGTACCTACAATATGTTTTGCCTTGAACTGAATGTTGTAATGCATGGTACGCAACACGAATGGTCGAATTATTGACATTACACATTTTGATTTTGATGTTCTCTTGTTTAGTATATCAACCAACGCGATGTTGTCTGTACGAAACAAAATCTTACTATTTTTCAAAAGAGGAGCCAATATACAGAGTGCTAGAAGTATAGGAACGAGTTCCAAAAATGTTATGTCTTGTAAAATGTTTAATCCTAACCACTAATCTGGCCATTTGAACTGTACCCATTTTCCGTTAAAGTAAGACCCACAACCAAGTTCAGCATTGCCTGCACTATCAGTAAATAGTTGCAAAATATCATTATCTGTCCAATTCAGACCAATAATATAAGAATCTCCATTAAAAGATTTTAAGAATTCTAACCATACCATGACGTCCTCTCGAATTTCAGAGGTAATTCGAACTGAGAAAAATGGTTTCTTGACCCTAAATGATGCAATAACATCATAAAATCTCCGCAAAAACGCTCTAGAGGATGGCACAGCACGTGAACAAAAAGCTAATAACCCAACTAGCGACTCGAAATCCTTAAATTTAATCTTCCGCTTTATTGTCATTGGTTGAAGTTGAGAACGTAATTTAATAAGCTTTGCCATTGGAATACGAACGACCATGTCAACTGTGTCTATTTCTAAGCCAAGAAAAGTTAATCTTGTAGTAGGATGTATTGTTTTGTCCTCTGCTATAGGCACGCCTAACTCATTACAAAGTTCAGTAAAGGTGTTCATTAAAACCAAGCAGTCATCCGAATTTGCAGAACTGCCAAATATGAAATCATCTAAATAATGCTTAACTGAATGCTTACCAGCAGATGAAACAACCAACCAATGCAGGAATGTAGAGAATTTTTCAAACAAGGCGCAAGCAATAGAACAACCGAATGGAAGGGATTTGTCCACATAAAAATTACCATCAAAATATATTCCAAGTAAATCGAAATCACCTGGAGAAATAGGCAAAAGACGAAAAGCGGACTTTTTGTCCTGAACCCCAAGTCTGGCCCCCTTGCCGAGAGATGACACCATGTCGATTACTTCATCAAAGGATGTGTACTTTACAGATGTTTCATTGGGATTGACAAAGTCATTGACACTACAACCGTTTGGAAAAGACAAGTGCATTATAAGCCTAAAACTCCCATCAGATTTATTGACTAACCCAATTGGTGAAGTGCGCAAGGTTGATATAGGCATTATTTTAAAAGGACCACACATTCTACCTAAAGCAATTTCTTTATTTAATTTCGAATGCGTTTCTGTCTTAAGCAGTTCAGCTGATTTGAGATTTTTTGAAATAAAAGGAGTTCGAGGACCGGAATATTGAAGACTAAAACCATTCATAAAACCATCCAATAACAATAAAGAAGTTTTTGAGTCTGGGTAATATTTTAAATATTTTTCTAAACAATCAACCTTAATAGGTGTTCTGCCTAATTCCCATTAAGCGTCCATTTGGTCTTTGAGGTTGATAATTTGGTCTTGGGGAACGAAAATTAGACCTTGGTCTAGTGAATCTTGGACCACTAAATCTAGGTTCAGTCCTAGTTTGACTGGACACTTGCCCATGCAACTGGTTTTGCTTAACACAACTTATAATTGGATGATGCAGACCACAACGCAAGCAAGAATGATTGTAGATACAATAATGCTTGTTACATATGCCGTCGAAATTAAAACTGTAACATCTTAGTGTAGTAGCCGTTTGGTTTGTGTAAAAAGCACGATTGTTTGAGGCATGATTTGTGGCTTGGCCCTCCGGTTGAACCGATTCGGACTGCATATACCACATCCAGTATTCCGAATCTAATTTACCCCACGACCCACTTGGATCTCGAGCTTTTTTCAAGCGGTACTGCTCATCATAGTATTTCCAACCGATACCTCCATGACGTCTGGCACCTTTTCGAACAGAAGTCATGTACTTTACAAGTTCTTGGAATTTATGGGAATGCACAGAACAATATATACTCATAAAAATTAGAAAGGCATCGGACCAAGCTTCGATGTTTGTGATCTTTGTTTGGGGCAAAACTGGATTTATGACAAGTTGCCCTTGCTCATAAGTGACTTTTTGCTTGTCATTATCAATGACTGAGTTATGCAATAAAAGAGCCAAATGGACATACTCGCCCCTTTGAATTTTTTGTCTTAAATTCTGACTAACATGTAATGTTATGTCATCGTCAAGGCTAGGCGAGTAGGTAGGTGTTTGCATGAACATTAGATGATCTTCACTAATTGCATTACCTGGTCGATTTGTAAAAACTGATGTAGGGTCCATTACTGCTACTCCTCCTGAAGTTGAGGGATGGTTAGGGACTGGATCTGTTACTATTGGAAGCTGTGTTTCCTCTTGTCGGGTAGTAGCTTCTAATGTTGCTGTTTTTGTAGCTGCTTTGCACTTTTTCCTTGACCCTCTTGTGTTCATCTTATCTAAAACTATAAGAATATAATTGAACAAACAAACAATATTGCTTTATACTATAAGTAAAGTATTTATTACAAAGCGACCTCAAAAAGTTCATTGACGCCTATAACCAAGTACGTTAACCTTTCAATGTCATAAATAAAATATTTGGTTTACTATACACAAATGTCGGTCAGCATATACAATAACAAAAAACCTAATCTAGGTTACACGTGCCAGGAGGCTGATTAAACAACCTGTGCCGAATGATAAGCTACTAAAATAGAGCACACGAGGTTATAACGTAAGCATACACAGGGATAATTACCAGAATATTAAACGTTAATTAAATCACATCTATTATGATAATGAAAACCTCTTATAATGAAACATGTAATAAAAACATACAGATTACAATCGTTGTATTAAATATACTATCTATAACGATGTTTCGTAATATTAACTAATTAAGTGGTGATACAAACATGAAGGAAACAATAAATTAAATAAATAAATAAATAAAATTATTATAATAAATGAACGTAACAAAATAATAATCAGATGTATGTCAAGCATGCATAATGATTAATTAACAAGAAGCTGTGACCGCTGGAGTGAAATTTTTTGCACATCGGTGTCAAAGGCTGATATCTCGTTGATGAAATACCATAAACACTTTCTATGTAACTTACATAAAGAAACTTCAAGTATCCCAATTATCATTAATACAAGACGCCGATAGCTACCTCCGGATAAGACAAAATATACAAACATGTAAAATAAGCAATAAATTGAAATTTAATTTGCTCTGAACATTTATATTTAAATAAAACATCCCGCGATTCATACGGGAGACTAATTCTAAATATACCACCTGAGTTCCGGTATTGGAAAAGAAGTAGAAAAACCTAAACAATCTGAATCTTGAATTTTTTGAAATCACCAAAATATATCCGTCTGCTTCCGTCGAATGTAGCTATTGAAAAGATTGCATGCGCACATTAGACAAAAAATAGAAAGGCCAATGACACACATAGCTTACACTAATAACCGAATTTATGCTGAATCATAAATCCTATTAATTTACAATTCAGTCATTAGAATCGTTCCAATAAGGATTGATACAAAACCTTGTTTCCAACTTTAAAGAAATGAATTCCAAATATCGATTTAAATGTATTAACAAGGATATTGATTATGCAGTGAAATAGTCGTTACAAGTTCAATTATGCTGTGGCTTTAAAAAAGAGGCACCCAACTTTTGTTCATCAGGAATGTCCCCTGAAAATAAATGAAGTGAAATTGTGAACTAGATTTCCAGATCCCTGTTCTTATCTTCATATTTAAGCATTACATCAGTCAAATCATGCAGTAACTGCAAACATTTGTACCATGCCTAAGGCCTTCAAAGATCCTAGTTCTTGAAGGACTTAGGGATATGCATACTTAGTAATATATGTCCTTGATCCCTCGCTGTTACCCAAAACAAGATTGATTTTCATCTCGCGCAAAAGTGACTAAAGCCCTCAAAATCCTAGCTGAAACCCTGAATACATCTTTATGATTTATTTATCGGCTATCAGATCTTGGGGTCGTCAGAGTTAACAATACGCAACAATTTATAGATTGTCATTTTTGTCTTTTAGAATGTAGTGGTCCTGGAGAAAAAGTCAAAATGGTGAAAACATTGTTGGAAGATTTAAAAGAAGATTTGACAAAGAAATTACCAATAGAGAATATCTTATCCTATAATGTAACATGGCAAGAGAAGGGTGAGTAGATATTTATGTTATTCATGAGACTTATAAAATTAAGGTCACTGCAACTTAGTATTCTGTTAACTTTTTAATGTTCTAATTTAAAAATTATTGATCAGGCCAAAGTGTGGACTTGTACTAACATATCATTAATAATAATTAAATTTTGATTGCTTAAATATATACTGTTTAAAATATATATGACCCTTTTAACTAAGAAATTGCCATTTAAAGCTCTCAGATGACCTTCTTTTCTGGGAGGAAACCTTGGATTTCTTATTATAAAGGTTCAAAACCTCTCATTCTTTAAATTGCAGTGTAAACTATTTAATATATAAAGCTTTATATTTCAGAAGGTAGAAGACCTGGATGCTTCATACGTTGTATGCAGATACCTCATGTTACGAAGTTTCCTTCTGTCATATGCCCAATGCCTGGTTCAGCAACTGCTTGAAAAAAAAATTACAGTTTTTTTGTCATCTGATATGAGTAATAGGATAATTATATTTAATATATCAGTTCCTTGCAACGTCTACATGTCTGTCAGATAGTGTTCACCTGACCTCAACATCAATTCATGGATCAGTGATCAAGGTTACAGTTTGTGATTAGGTCCGTTTCTCAGATACTATAAGCAGTAGGTCAACTAAATGTGGTGTATGGAATGACTTTAACGGGTACATATCAGTCTGGCAGATTTCATCTGATCTTGACCCCATTTTCATGGTTCATTGGTCAAAGTTTAGTTATTGTGTTTTGGTCTGTTTTTCAAGTACTATAAGCAATAGGTCAAATAAATTTGGTGTATGGAATGATTGTTAGGTGTACATGTCTGTCTAATTGGTGTCATCTGACCTTGACCTCATTTTCATGGTTCATTGGTCAATATTAAGTTTTATGTTTTGGTCTGTTTTTCAATTGCCATAAGCAATGGGTCGTCTATATTTTGTGTATGGAATAATTGTAAGGTGAACATGTCTGTGTGACAGTTTTTATCTGACCTTGACCTCATTGTCATGGATCTTTAAAAATGTTAAGTTTATGTGATACTTGTAGTAAAACCTTTATCTTTAAGACTTTCAACATAAAATCAATGATCAGTAAAACAGGCGAGACATTTCAGCATGTGCACTCTTGTTTTTTTACTTATCATTTGGTAATTTGGAGTAAGAGAAAAGATCGGCTGACTGGAAGTCAGAATACCATGTCCAGGTGGCGAGATATCTGCAGTTGTTAGTTACTTTCTAAAAATCCTTGATCAGAATATCACTATAGTACAAAAAAAAGATTCTTATTCATTCTTCCATCCTTAAGTATATAGAGCTACATGAAGACCTCAAAAATATTTATTTTACATGACTGTGGATTCATTTATTTTTGTTGGTACCAATTTTCATGGATTGAGGAAATCTTGCATTTTCATGGGCATTTGAATCGTGGTTTTTCCAAAGTTTGCATTCAACCCAATAAAAATTTGTATTTCGTTGAACATTTAAATTTGTTGTTCACCAGGGGTTCAAATTAGTGGTGGTCAGAGGTCTGTGACCTTCCACTGTTGCAATCGGACTTCCGTTTTGGTTGCTAGCTATGCCCGACGGACCTTTGATTTTAAAGGAAATAGAAATTATTTTTGCTAACCTTTTTAACCATCGTCTTTTTTTTAAGCCATATTATAATTGAAATTGAGATAAAAAAAATGTGTCATCCCTGATCTTGCAGACGAGTGATAAAAGTTATTTTTAACCTTGTATTTCTTGAAAACACAAGGTTATAAACAGTTGCGAGAAGTCATGTGACAAATCATTTAATCGAACAAAATGAGTCCATAAATATAGAAGGATATTCAACCTTCCCATTGATAGAAACAAGTGCCTGTGTCTTCAACGTCTTCAAAAGAAATCAAATGAAGATCTCACTAAAGACCAAAAATGCGATGGTGAAAAACGGGAATGGACATTTAAGGTGGTACCTAACACTACAGGGAGATAACTCAGTAAAAATCAACTTAACGTTTTAATCACGTTGTATTGTTAAGGAAATATTAAGCTTCTCAATGATCAAAATTAGTGTTTGTCAAACTGCTATATAACCAGTGAAATTTTTCTGATAAAGTGGTTGGTTCAAATTATTTGAAATTTTTATATTTCTGTTAAAGGGTCAAAGTAAACATTCTGTCAAAATTTTAGGAATATTAAACGAGCCAAATTAATATTAGTCAAGGTGTTGGGTACCACCTTAAGCCCACTGGAAAATCGATCGAACCGAGGCTATATTTTGATGAATCAACTGGTCTAATGTCATGCACATACTGCCAGAAGTTCCCCACTCATTCAGAAAAAGTGCACTTGCAAGGGGAACACAAAATCTTAAAATAGACCCAATAAAAATATACGAAGTGACACGCCGGCATTTATCTTGTTTAAAGCAGTGTATCCATGAAAGTGACCCAAATTTTAAGTCTTAAGATTGATTGTCAGACCCTAAACTTGGACAATGTATTCTCAAGCAGCAATGTAAGCCTGATCAGTTAAATAGATATAAGGTTCTTTTCAACACTGCATACAGTATTGCAAAAAGGGAAACCCTTCAGTGACTATGAATTTATTCTTGAAATCCAGTGCAAAAATGGTGTTGATGTGTAAGCAGTACTTCAATATTGAAGGTTGTTTATTCGCTGGATAGCCCATTATATGAGAAACGAAACATCACATGCAGTTCAAATATGATGAAACAAACTAACCTTACTCCAAAAGCACATTAATTTTGTATCTGATTGAGTTATGAAATATTTCATGTAAAAGTAGGACCTTGGATTTAGGTTGTGGACCTTTCAGTTTGGAGTGTCAAAGGTCCTGGACCTTCCAGTACCAAATGTTAATTTGAACCCCTGGGTTCACCTATCCCCATGAAACCCACGAAAATTAGAATCTCACGAATAATAATGAATCCACAGTATTTCAAAAAATGATAAATATTTTTTTTATTAGGTTTGGATCCAGGGATCAAAGAACACAGTGAGTATCTAGATAAAATCACTGACGATGCAGAAAAGAAATTAAAGCAGTTAATAGATGACATAATTGCAGCAGACAAGAAGAAGAAACATGATATAGTACGCGATGAAATCAGACAACATCTCTTGTTTTGCCAGTCAAAGTGTGCTGATTTTAAAGGCAAGGAAGATACTCTGGAGGTAGGTATTTCCACCATTTGATTATTTTTGTGCGTATCAGTTTTTGAGGATTGAGAAGAAATTTGTTTTTCAATTGATTCCTGATTCTGATTTTATAGTAAAGGTCACAGTGCTCAGCTATTGATAGACTGATAATGCCCCATGGGTCATGAAAAAATTTTTAATTGATTTTGGGGTCAATAAGTCAAAGGTCAAAGTCACAGCAGCAATTGATAGACTGAAATCTTGGGCAAAATTTTGGTTTACAGGTTATATCTTTTGAACCATATATAAAACATTCACCAAGCTAAGCTTGAGAAGACACTTGGAAGGCGCTTTTTTTATAGACATCACCCATACAATTGCTTTTTACTTTGCATACATAACCACATAATTTGAACTTTGTGACCTGCCCCCACCCATACAAAAATAATTAAAGTGCCTTTCAACCACCAATATATTTTTATCTGGAATAGCCCTAAGCTTAAAAATTCATTTTTTGGAAAATGACACTATCAGCGGCATGTTTCCGATACCATTGACCAGAACTTACGGAAGTCGATTATTGCCTCCGCCTACCGCACTCGGTTTCATATTTACTATTTTACATACTAACTGGAATCTGCTTGTATTACGCTACACTCGAACAAAGTGTTGTAGTCGGATGGGAACCAGTTTAAATACTTTATTTTATTTACCAAAAAGATATCTTGACCTGTCCATATGTTTTTTTGTTATTAAATGGTATTTGGAGTTATCCCTTTGTTATATTTTTCATATTTATTCGAGGTTTCACTTTTATGCACATGTCTTACAATCGTAAACGATCGGTATGTATACATAATAAATAGATCCGTTTTGTTATGGTGTTGGACTTTTTACCCTCCAATGATCAGCAATCGCTAGACAAAATAGTTCTCCTAAATAATGTCAGCCTTTTATGCCTTTTCAACTTTACAATCATTAAAAAAAGTGAAAATCGGAATCATTTTGATATCCATTGGATAGAAACTGGTCTTTATCCAGATTTACGAAGATTTTAAAAATCGGAAATTAGTAATACAGTTATACCCACGCGGTGCGTATGAATCTTTGTTTACAAAACAGGATTTCGGAACGTCTCTAGTTTTTAGATCGTAAGTCACGATAAACTCAAACTGAAAGTAAACAGTTGTTTGTAAGACGCAGGTTTACTTTCTGCTTCTGCTTCTGCCAGATAATGGCCACAATCAACGAACTGATTATACTGCCATGGTTTGGTGCGCATATAAGACCACCCCCCTCCCCCCAAAATTTTATAATTTTAATTCAGCTTTGTCATCGAGGCTTTAAAGGCCTCGACTGACGGTGCTGATACGACCCCAGGAGGAAGAGCGTTCCAATCCCGTATTTGGATACTCACCATAAACAAGCTGAAAATTTTAGTATGGCATATATTTTAGGTTAAAGACGGTCCCATTCATTTAAAAAGCATTTTTAAAGTAGACGATGGGATTATTTCAGGTTTGGGGAACGAGTAAATTATCACAAAGTTCATTTCTTGACGACCTCATGTCGATGGTACAAATCGATTTTTACTGTTTACTGTCGCTTCTCATGTTTTGTATTTAAACGGTCGTTTATTTTTAAACCCGAACCAGGCATATGCATTCTGTAATTGTGCAAATCTTCGTTCTTTGGTCAATTGGCTTATGGATAGTTGTATCAATTTCAACTCTTACATTATTTATTTTTTTAAATATATTTGCATTACACATGCAATGGCAGTACCTTTCCAATTACTATTTATGTGTTGTGTCTAAATTAAAGTTGTAACACTTTATAGTGACTGGAAAGGGTAGAACAATTCATCAGATGAGAAAAGGCTGAAGATAATTCAAATGGCACCGAATCATTAGATATTGCATCTTATAAAAAGAAACTGAGATTTGGATAGTTCCACTTCAAGGTAAAAATGTTTATCTCTTGTGAAATGAAATAAAAAAAATATTGTAACACTGTAGTTAATTAATAAAGATACTATTACGTGTATTTCTGTATTGGCCTTATTATTGGTTCTCGGCCAGCAGTCAAACGGCACCGAATCATTAGATATTGCATCTTATAAAAGGAAACTGAGATTTGGATAGTTCCACTTCAAGGTATAAATGTTTATCTCTTGTGAAATGAAATAAAAAAAATATTGTAACACTGTAGTTAATTAATAAAGATACTATTACGTGTATTTCTGTATTGGCCTTATTATTGGTCCTCGGCCAGCAGTATTGGCCTTCTGCTTCGCCTCAGACCAATACACCTAAGACATAGACCAATAACAAGGCCAATACAGAAATACTTACGCAATGATATTATAGAATGACAGTATGGTTCAATAGCGGGAATCAGCCCCTCAACTACTTTTTACATAAATATTAACTTCTGGCTTCAACGCTTTGTTCGTCTTGTCTGGAGATCTTGCTGTAGTTCCAGTTCAGCAAGCATTTTAGAGACGTATCCCGTCCATCCTCTTTTGACTTGTAATCTCTGGTGATAGATTTTGCCGCTTGACATTGTATACTTTCAAGCTTTTTTTTTTGTTACTGTGTAGGGGTCCCATACTATGGCTCCATATTAAATTATAAGATGCACTCCTAAAGATCTAGATCATTGTTCTAATCTGACACAAATTTCAATAACTGGAATGCTACCCAAGCTGCTATTGTCTAAATATACGGAAATATAATTTGCTTCAAGTAACAGAAATAACAAGGTCATTAGTATCTTATTTAATGAGTATGTGGGGTATAAGAGCTTGCTAACAACATGCTCTTCATAATCATTTGGTTTGAAAAGGATACTAGTAATCTATATTCTTGATTTAGAAAAATGTAATTGCAAGAAAAAAATCACATTACTTAGAATACTTTAGATCATTCAGGTAGTCTTTATTTATATGTACAAAAGAACAGCCAGTAGTCATTGGATATTGTAGATCATTCCGGTAGTCTTGACCTATTTATTTATACAAAAAAACAGCCAGTAGTAATTGGATACTGTAGATCATTCAGGTAGTCTTGACCTATTCATTTGTACTGAAAAAACAGACACATATACGAATATCAATTATATGCTTACGAGACATGTTGCAATGTTAAACTTATTACGGTATGTGGAAATCAAGACTTGCATAAAAAATATCACAATATTAGAGACAGTGGCGTCATTTTTCCATAGAGCTTTCAGCTCTTTGATTTTTTTGAATAGGTAATGTGTATTTGATTTGAAATGCATAATGATCCAGCATTTTATTAAGAACCGCCTAATAAGCCTTCTTCATTATTTTGGTTGTCTACATACATCTCTGTCATTTAAAAGTTGTATACCATGTATTCCTTGCATTATGCTTTCAAAATCAGCTTTCTTCTTCAAGATTTAGAGAAAGCTCTGCTGATTCATAGATCATCAAATTTTCTGCATTTACATATAAGACATTGAGATGTCAAATTTCTATCTTTTTGGATGTAAGTAATGGGTCAAGAAATTCCATGTAACATGTTGTAATATCAGTCAGCTGATTTTGAACAATACACATTCGGAGAAAATCAAAAATTTCTAATATTAATTTTCTTCTTCCTCAGGCAGTGCATACCTATTTAAAAAGTGACAAAACACATCCTCTTGTTATTCATGGTGAATCTGGTAGTGGTAAAACATCCCTTATGGCAATGATAGCCAAAAAGGCCAATGAATGGTTTGATGGGAAGGCAACAGTTGTCATAAGGTAAGATTTATGTTACGACATAAAAGGGATTCTTTTTCATGCTAAAATTGACATCTTGTTTTAAGAAGATTCAGACATTTTGAGATGTTATTACTCTGAACGCCATTCAATTTGGAAGTTGCTTTTTATACGACCGCAAAAAAATTTTGTGGTCGTATATTGGTATGAAGTTGGCGTCGTCCTGCGTCGTCGTCCGAAGACACATTGGTTTTCGCACTCTAACTTTAGTTTAAGTGAATGGATCTTTTTGAAATTTTACCATAAGGTTAAATACCACAAAAGGAAGGTTGGGATTGATTTTGGGGGTTATGGTAACAACAGTTAAGGAATTAGGGGCCAAAAAGGGGCCAAAAATAAGCATTTTCTAGTTTCCAGACAATAACTGTGGAACGGTGTATGGATCTCTCTGAAATTATACTACAAGTTTCCATACCACAAAGGGATGGTTAGGATTTGCTTTGGGGGGTTATGGCTCAAACCGTTTAGGAATTAGGGGCAAAAAAGGGGGAAAAACAAGGTTGTCCTGGTTAATGGACAAATACTTTAGTACAAAACATAATTTAAAGCAGTGTAAGGAAGATAAATCAAATACATCATTGAAATTATCTCCCTTACACTGCTTTTAAATTATGTATAAAGTAATGGTTAATGAACAATAAAGATAATTTAAAACAGTGTAAGGGAGGTAATCCAAATACAACATTTTGGTTACTTCCCTTACACTGCTTTTAAATTATGTTTAAAGAAATGCATATTTATAAAGGAAGACCAGTAAAAATATCTGCAAATGTTGCATCATTTTTTTTTACAAAAAAATCCATATGAAAGATTTGACACTATATTTTTAATTCTATTATAAAATAGATTAAGTTAGCACTATGGTAAATTTAAATGGGTAATTATGGTTGCCAACTCCATTGGAAACTTGAATTGAGATTATGACCATATCTTGAGGGAAAAAAAGGGGGGGGGGATAAAAAGAAATTGTGGGGGGTCAATTTTTTCTCATTTCAGATTTCAGAAATTAAAAAGAATTATTCTTCAAATATTATTTTTTTTTCAAATTTAAAATATTGAAAAATTTCAAGAAGTAATCTTTAATTGCACAGTATGGCGCATTAGATTTGTAAAATCTTTGATCACATTTATTTATTTGTTATGCCGAATCTAACAGTGTATTTAGATTTTTAATTTTGGGTCCAGTTTTCAAAATAGTCTACATTAAGGTCCAAAGGGTCCAAAATTAAACTTTGTTTGATTTTAGCAAAAATTGAATATATGAGGTTCTTTGATATGCTGAATCTAAACATGTATTTAGATTTTAGATTTTTGGCCCAGTTTTCAAGTTGGTCCAAATTGGGGTCCAAAATTAAACTTTGTTTGATTTCAACAAAAATTGAATATATGGGGTTCTTTGATATGCTGAATCTAACCATGTATTTAGATTTTTTATTTGTGGACCCCGTTATCAAATTGGTTCATATTGAGGTCAAAAGGGTCCAAAATTAAACTTTGTTTGATTTCATCTAAAATTGAATTATTGGGGCTCTTTGATATTCCAAATCTAACCGTGTATTTAGATTTTTTATTTTGGGTCCTGTTTTTTAAATTGGTCTACATTAAGGTCCAAAGGGTCCAAAATTAAACTTAGTTTGATTTTAACAAAAATTGAATTCTTGGGGTTCTTTGATATGCTGAATCTAAACATGTGTTTAGATTTTTGATTATGGGCCCAGTTTTCAAGTTGGTCCAAGTTGGGGTCCAAAATTAAACTTTTTTTAATTTCAACAAAAATTGAATATATGGGGTTCTTTGATATGCTGAATCTAACCATGAATTTAGATTTTTTATTTGTGGGCTACGCTATCAAATTGGTTCATATTGAGGTCAAAAGGGTCCAAAATTAAACTTTGTTTGATTTCATAAAAAATTGAATTATTGGGGTTCTTTGATATTCCAAATCTAACCGTGTATTTAGATTTTTTATTTTAAGTCCCGTTTTTTAAATTGGGCTACATTAAGGTCCAAAGGGTCCAAAATTAAACTTAGTTTGATTTTAGCAAAAATTAAATTCTTGGGGTTCTTTGATATGCTGAATCTAAACATGTGTTTAGATTTTTGATTATGGGCCCAGTTTTCAAGTTTGTCCAAGTTGGGGTCCAGTATTTAAACTTTGTTTGATTTCAACAAAAATTGAATATATGGGGTTCTTTGATATGCTGAATCTAAACATGTATTTAGATTTTTTATTTGTGGACCCTGTTATCAAATTGGTTCAAATTGAGGTCAAAAGGGTCCAAAATTAAACTTTGTTTGATTTCATCTAAAATTGAATTATTGGGGCTCTTTGATATTCCAAATCTAACCGTGTATTTAGATTTTTAATTTTGGGTCCTGTTTTTTAAATTGGTCTACATTAAGGTCCAAAGGGTCCAAAATTAAACTTAGTTTGATTTTAACAAAAAATGAATTCTTGGGGTTCTTTGATATGCTGAATCTAAACATGTGTTTAGATTTTTGATTATGGGCCCAGTTTTCAAGTTGGTCCAAGATAGGGTCCAGTATTTAAACTTTGTTTGATTTCAACAAAAATTGAATATATGGGGTTCTTTGATATGCTGAATCTAAACATGTATTTAGATTTTTGATTATGGGCCCAGTTTTCAAGTTGGTCCAAATTGGGGTCCAAAATTAAACTTTGTTTGATTTCAACAGAAATTGAATATATGAGGTTCTTTGATATGCTGAATCTAACCATGTATTTTGATTTTGGACATTGGACCATAACAGGTAAATTAAAAAAAAATCAAGTTCTTAGACCTCAGTCTTTCCGTGTCAGAAACCTATGCTGTGTCAAATATTTAATCACAATCCAAATTCAGAGCTGTATCAAGCTTGAATGTTGTGTCCATACTTGCCCCAACTGTTCAGGGTTCGACCTCTGCGGTCGTATCAAGCTGCGCCCCAGCGAAGCATTTTATTTTTTCTTCAGTAAAATGAGTTTCATATACAAGATGATTTGTACAGGTTTTTGCAGCTTTTAGTTATTATGAAAATAATCATCAAAATTTGAAAATTTTTCATTCATTTCAATAGATTTAGCTTTTGTTCTGAAATAAGATCAATAACTAAAAAACTTATATTGACAAACCACAAATATCAGTAATGAATACATCCTGAATATATAGAATATTTAATTCATATATCTTATTTCAGGTTTTTGGGAACAACTCCAAAAAGTTCCAACCTTTTCGATTTGTTATGCAGTTTGACAATGCATATAAGAACAGCCAAAATCATGGATCATCTGAATGCGAAGGTAATTATGTCTATTGGTTTGCAGAAAACAAATCTAGTAATTTGTTGGAACAATTTCGTTGAAGTTGTTGAATTGTTGAATTCAGAAACATAAAGTAATATTCATATTGATTGATACCAATTGACATGATTGATAGAATAGGGTCTGGATGAGAGGTCCTTTAATTCTGTTCTTTTAATTTTTTAGCCATTTTTCCTTTCTAGAGTTATGCCCCTTTACAAATGAAAAAATTGCTGAATTTTTCATTTCCGTTCTGTAACTTAAGTTTGTCTCAACCAAATGTTATGAATCTTGTACACAATGCTCATTACCACAAAACACAAATCAGGTTTGAATTTTGGTGGTGTCACTTTTACCGTTCTAGAGTTATGCCCCTTTACAATTGGAAAAATTGCTGAATTTTTCATTTTCGTTCTCTAACTTAAGTTTGCCTCAACCAAATGTTATGAAACTTATACACAATGCATATTACCACAAAACTTAGATCAAGTACATTCTTGAGATATGTCCCTTTATAACGTTATATGCAAGTGGGGGCATCATCTGGTTCCATGGACACATTCCCCATTTATTTGTTTTACCTACTGTGGATTCATTAATATTCGTTGGATACCAATTTTCGTGGATTTCGTGGGTACAGGGGAACCACGAATTTTAATGTTCAACGAAATACAAATTTTCTACAGGAAAGTATGCAGACTTTGCCAAAACCACGAAATTAAATATCCACGAATATGCAAGTTTTCCTCAATCCACGAAAATTGGTACCCACGAAAATAAATGAATCCACAGTATATGATAATTTAGGATATTACATTTTTACAAATATACACTTGATACTAAGTTTATTTGGTAAAAGGCAATTCACAAAGCATTCTGTGAAAAAGATGATGTAGATTGCTTAAATATTTTAACCTACAAAATTTAAAATAAGGCTAATGAATATGATACAAGTCTGACTCATATATCAATATTTTGACATAGGTATAAGAAGGTTGTCATTTCCATTCTTACATAACTACACTGGTTCTAAGTATACATTGCAAAAAGTAAACTGTATAATGAACCAATAGATTGTGTTTTTAGAAGTCATTCAAGCATTAAATAGCAGTCTGATAAATAACATTGTTATGTATTGTTTATGGATAACTTATGCACCCGGATATGTTCACTTTATATAGCTTGGCTTCCTTGGCTGTATTGCCTTTACGTTTATCACATCCTATATAGAGCTGTCCTGTTGGAGTGAAGGCAAGGGAAATTGGACATTCTACTCCAGTGTCTGTAGTATCTATGTTAATTATCATCTGTCCAGAGTTGTTCATAATGTGGAGGGTACTAGTATTTACATCAGCTATAATGACATTATCTCTTGGTGTTGTCACTATTCCTGCTGGTGTGAATGGTACCTTCTTGTTAATCTCTGTGTCCCCTTTATATATATTTATCACATCACCTGCCTTTCCTAACACTACCACTTTACCGCTGTCTTCATTTGCATCATAGCCTGCCACATGTATATCACCATTATTGGTTGAAGTAATCCTCCTTGGATAACTAAATAAAGGTTGACTATGTTGGTCATGTTCACAACTTCATGATCTCCATTCTTTTTAGCTCACCGTTCCGAAGGAACGGTGAGCTTTAGCCATCACTTAGCGTCCGTCGTCGTTGTCGTCATCCGTCTGGTGTAAACTATTTCAAACATCTTCTCCTCTGAAACTACTGAACCAATTCCAACCAAACTTAAGCTGAATGATCCTTAGGGTATCTAGAATAAACTTTGTGTTTTATTTTCTGTTTCGTCAAAAAACATGGCCGCCATGGCTAAAAATAGAACATAGGGGTAAAATGCAGTTTTTGGCTTATATCTCAAAAACCAAAGCAATTAGAGCAAATCTGACATTGGGTAAAATTGTTCATTAGGTAAAGTTCTACCAGCCCTGAAATTTTTAGATGAATCTAATAACCCATTGTTGGGTTGCTGCCACTAAATTGGTAATTTTAAGGAAATTTTGCTGTTTTTGGTTATTATCTTGAATAGTATTAATGATAAAGATAAACTGTAAACAGCAAATATGTTCAGCAAAGTACGATCTACAAATAAGTTTTATATGACCAAAATTGTCAATTAACCCCTTAAAGAGTTATTGCCCTTTAAGGACAATTTTACACAATTTGTTTATCATGTTTTCTAACTTTAAAAAATCTTCTCCTCTGAAACCACTGAACCAATTCCAACCAAACTTAAGCTGAATGATCCTTAGGGTATCTAGAATAAAGTTTGTGTTTTATTTTCTGTTTCGTTAAAAACATGGCCACCACGGCTTAAAATAGAACATAAGGGTAAAATGCAGTTTTTGGCTTATATCTAAAAAACCAAAGGAGTTAGAACAAATCTTACAGGGGTAAAAGTGTTCATTAGGTGAAGTTCTATCAGCCCTGAAATTTTCAGATGAATCGGATAACCCATTGTTGGGTTGCTGCCACTAAATTGGTAATTTTAAGGAAATTTTGCAGTTTTTGGTTATTACCTTGAATAGTATTAATGATAAAGATAAACTGTAAACAGCAAATATGTTCAGCAAAGTAAGATCTACAAATAAGTTTATATGACCCAAATCGTCAATGACCCCTTAAGGAGTATTGCCCTTTGAGGACAATTTTACACAATTTGTTCATCTAGTTTGCTTACTTTAAAAAATCTTCTCCTTTGAAACTGCTGAATCAATTTCAGCCAAACTTGGGCTGAATGAGTTTCAGAGTATCTAGAATTTTGTATTTTATTTTCTTGTACGTCAAGAAACATAGCCACTATGGCTAAAATGGAACATAGAGGTAAAACGTATTTCTTTGCTTTTGAAGAAAATATGACAGATACAAAGAACATTTCAATGGAATTTTTAAGCCACTCATTAATAAATATTAAAAAGCAAAAAATCATTGATGAAAGATTTAAGCAAAAAATTACAGGTGAGCGATTCAGGCTCTTGAGAGCCTCTTGTTTAATAAAAAACACTACTCTTCTTCCTTCATTATAATTTACCACCTCCTAATATTATCTTACCACCACTGGTGACATGAATGGATGTAACAAGGAAAGGATTAAGGTCATACACACTGTCTGTTACTTTACCTGTAGTAATACTGATCATTTGTATTCTGGATTTAGCTTCAACTGCCAGAAGTAGGTCATCAGATGCAGTTATTGCCATACAATTGACCTTGATATTGAAGGTAGATATTGTCTTCAGACTGGTTCCTTCAGGTTTTACTTTCTTTATCACTTCATCTGGATCACAAGCTATCCAAAGTGAACCATCATGACATAGAGATAAAAGATTTGATAAAGGAAAGATTAGTCTGATATTGATTAACAACACTAAGAGAAACCTTTACGCCTTGTACTGGTATGTCTACACTTTGTAATACTCCAATGTTAGACTGAGTTCTCTCCAGGAATAATTTGTAGTGTTGTTCTATGTAATATTTCAGGTTTGGGAAAAGATACATCTATTAATCTCTCCATTTGGCAAACTTCTTGGAAAAATTTAGTGATGTCAGTGGTATTAATGAAATCCTGGACGTCACTATACTTTTTATCTATTTGTCTCTCACTCTTAGAAATGTCATTGATACTTTCTTCATTTGCTTTGGTAGATGCTTGATGGTTCTGGTCTAACTCATTTCTTAGTTTTGCTATATGTTTTTCCACTGCTTCTTTCAAAACTTTCTCATGGTTAAGAATATCTTTGCTTACTTTGGCATAATTTGAATTTTCAGCATCATGAAGCATATTAGCATGATCCTTTGTGCAGTAATTTCTTTTTTTTCTGTTTGCAGTTTACTTTGTCTTTTCTTCAGTTTTTCTGTCTTCAAGTTATATGCTTCACTAATTTCAATTAAATTATGTTTCTTGTGAACCTTAGCAATGCAAGTAGGGCAAACGAGTTTGTCACAATTTGTGCAATAAAGGCAAGAAGATTGTTCTGAATGATCTTGACATTTTATGTTTGTAAAATCCAATCCTTTGCCAGGTAGCCCCACATTTTTTATGTCTACTACCTTATAATCCTTAGCTATTCTGAGATGTATTTTATCTTTACATGTACTACACATTAGAACTCCACAGGTCAAGCATTTCCATTTTATATTCTTCTCAGTTTCAAACAAAAATTAAAGTTTATGGGCATCTGGCTTCTAATTACTGATTTAGAAAACGCCGTTATTGAAGCAATCTTTCTTCCTGGTTTGTATCTCAGGTGACTGTAAATTATTATAGGTAAATGCAATCTATTGGTTTAAATATACATTATAGAAAAATATCATGTTTTGATCAAATTATATGATGCTAGTGTAAAGAGTTTCAATTTCTACTTTATAATAGAACCTTTCTTTTATCATTTATCAATAAAGAATTCTTTATCTCATGATTATATATTTTTTAATCATGCGTAACAAAATGTCTTTATATTGAACAACAAAGGAAATAAATGATATGTTTTTGTGTCTTTTAAACTGAAATTACCCAATACCCCATATACTTTGTTTTACTATTATTTATTAGCAATAAGAATTTACACTATATCAACTGTATAAGATAAGGAGATATTGTTCTTATCTGATGAATGAAATAAATATTTAAAGAAAAAGGAGTATTAATTTTTGGAAAGCAATTTATAGAAACTGTTCGTTCATATGAAAGAAAGTAGATGATGGATATACATCATGGAGACAGCAACCAGAAGACAAAAAGAAAACCCCAATAGAATTCAAGTAGTCAGTATATGGTCTTCTGCAACAGACAAGTGTCTAGACAATATTTGAAGGTCTTTACTGCCTATAGTCTGGAAAATGGTGAAAAAAATTAAATAGTAATATATGTAAGTTACTGTACTTTGGAGTACATTTCATACAGCAATATCATAAACAGTTGAATTACATTACCTGACAGATAAATATAATTGGTTTTACTTATGGCACAGGCTACCATAATATGG